GGTTGGTATACTTTATTTTTAAAGTATTTGATTGATTAATTCAACTCGAATTGGGCTACGAATTGAATTTTTAATGATTTCGTAATTTAGCAGCAATTTAAATAGCTCAGATACAAAGACAAAACTCCATAATCTAAGTTCATGTGTGTGTCTCGTTGCTTGTTAAGTGAGGGCATTGTGAAAATGTTAAAGCGTAGGACAGAAGAAAGGGTATAACATTTAATTACTACAATTTTACAGAAATTAAATATAAATAAATAAAAAATATTTATAAAGAAAAATAAAATAATTTATTATAAGAAATAGTACATACCTCAGTATAATTGGGGCTTTAATTATGATTTCAGTGTTGCAAAATTAAAAAAATATGATTGCAATAAGAATTCAGCAAAGAACAAAATGTTTTGAAGGGAAGCAAGGAAGTAATTTTCGTTAAGCTTCAAGTAAGTTCCTGTACCTTGTGGAATTAAAAAATTTTTAAGTGTTATATTTGGTTGAAAAGTATTGAAAAAGTACTGGATAGAATATATTTTAGTCTTAGTAAATATTATTTATTTTTTTTTATTCTATTTTTCGCCTCGAAATCCTTTTTAATAATTTAATTTCAAAACTTATGTCAACAAACTCTGAAGTTAATTTCCAGCATTGATCATATGAAAATTTTCTAATTATTATATTTTCTGCTTAAAAAATGATTTCTAAATTAAAGTATACTATTGTATATAGAAATATATATATACCATATGATATAGTATTATTAGAAGTGTATTTCTAGTTTCGGCTTTTGGCTAGAAGTTGATCTTGCTGGGCTTGTTAGTCTTTCCTATTTCTTCGGGTGCCTCTTCAATCAAATTGACATAAACACATGTTGGGGCCCTAAGTGTTGTCGCGCCTACAAAACGTAGACACCGAGCTGAAAACAGAAGACAGTTGGGGAGAGTGTGGCACGCGGGGAAAGCCTCTATTAATAGAGCATTAATTGATGATTATGTCAGTTGAAAGCGTCGTTGACAAACTGTGTATCTGATGGATACATGCGGCAAACGCCCCGAAAACAGCAGTTGAAAACTTTTCATGCACTTGCATTGAATGCTGCCATTAATCAAGCTGACGCAACACCCCCTCCAGGCCCGCTGCGCGCAGCTTTGCTGCGGTTAAATATTTTGAATGGCAACATATGTTGGCTGGCATAAAGCACCATGAGATTTGTCATGTGTGTGGCCACAAAGCGCTGCTTGGAGCCGCCCGCTGCTGCAGTTACACATTTTGGGCCGAGTGCTCACAACTATTTACCGCCAAAAATGCCCGAATCGCTGCAATCGCAAACTACGCAAAAACAATCTTGCAGCCAGCAGATACGACGTCGACAAAACCGCAAACAAGTTGCAGCTGCATTTTGAGCCTCGGATTCAGATATAGCCAACAACTCCGTATCTAAAGCTGGAAACCGTAGCCAGACCCGGCGCAAATGTGCATTCTGCGGTTTAGCTGCCGGTTCGGGATTCGGGCGGGGATTTTGCGTAAAAGTTTTTCAAACATTTTGGCCCCAACTATGCCAAACATTTTTGTACTCAAAACTATTTAGCTGTCAGCATTTATTTGGCCAAAAAAAAAAATGAGGAGGCAAAAACAAATGCAGTTTATATTGAGATATAGTAGATAAATGCGGCCAAAGTTTCATTTCAACATCAACTTTATGGGTATTTATTGATTTTGCAAATATTTCCCCGCCCCGCCCCCAGCTAGTTTCAGTTTTGATTGATGGCCTCAGCTGCAGGCGTGCTGTAAGAGAGCGAGAGAGAGGGAAGTGGGAAATAGGGAAAGTTGTTGGAGTGTGGACTTAACAGATTTGTAGACCGAATGACCGAATGCTGAAAAGTGATAAAAATGATACACACGAGTATTTTGAAATTTTTGCTGATATAGTTGCCAGTTGAAAAACTATTTTTCGGTTTGAGGCTTACTATTTGTAATCCAAAGTTAACCCAAATATATATATCTGTTGCAGATTCGGAGGGTTTGCTATACACAAAAAGCAGCTGAAATGTTATACAAAACAAGAACTAATTCAAAAAGTTATGCATTTTATTTTGGTATTTGATTTGGTTTGCAATTGTCGCATTTATTTAAAAAATATGTATGTATATTAATAATTTCGACTTATATAAAAATTTGGTTACTTTGGAAAAGTTAAATTAACGGGTAAAATAATTTATTTTAAATTAAATAATAATCTTAGTAAATAATTAAATTTAGTTTGGTAAAATATATTTTTTTTATATATAAGGACAAGCTTAATCAAATCTAAGCAGAAAATAAATTGTTAAGTAATATTTTTTTTATTAAGGTGCAAGAATCAAAACTTTAAGCAGCAAACAACATTTAAAATATATTTTTCTATGAAATAATTACCATGCAACTTATTTCTAATTGGAAAAAAGGCGTACTATCTATTGAACAGCTTGTCTATAAACTATTTAAATTGAACCTGAAGGTGCACAGACACTTTAAAGGCATATAAAACAAAGTCATAAAACGTCTAGTTTCTGCAGTTGGTAGCTGGCGTTGACTTGGCCCGAAGGCCATGAAGGCTATTAAAGAAATTCCTGGACGTAACAGCGAGTATCAAGCGAATGTGTGGAGCGTTTCTGAAATGCCAAAGCGTCTTCTTCTTGTGTCTCTAGCCACATAAAGGCGATGATGAAGAAGTTGCTGCTGATGATGTTGATGCACATTGCATTGCTCATTAACACGAAACTAATTAATTGCGCAATTCAAGTAAACTATCATGTTGCGAGCGGGTACCGCCATTACAGGCACTTGATTGATCACCGCCAGCCAACTGCAGCCTGATCTTCTTGAGCTAACAAGCCGAGGCCAAGTGCAGGGCCAGGGCTTAGGCTAGGGCTGATACCTCAGACAGAGGGTGCCAAGTGGAAAGTGACTGTTGGCCATGCAGCGCGCCCATTGCATTTTAAACGCTAATTTATTGTTAACTGCAACATGTTGCCGGTATGCAAAAATGTTGCCTGGCATATGCAATTAATTGTAACAAGGCCCCGCCAGCCAGCTCGGCCAACTAGCTGCCAGCCAGCCGGGCAACCTTTAACGAGCCTCAGCCCATTGGCAATTGCATTTGGCCAACACTTTTTGAGGCAGCGCGTTAAGTCGCTGCAATTTACGTGTTAATTTGAAGTCGTGTCTCTTTTCAAATGCTTGGCTGCCCCCCAAAAATACACAAAAAAGCACCTTTACTTTTACTCTGTGCGCCGAGAAAGTCGTAAGTAATTCATGTGTTGCACGTAATTGCCAGGGTGTTGCGACTGTTGCAGGCGGTTGCGGGCGTTTGCATGCAGCCAGAGCGGCAGCTGCAAGATCCGCCTACCAATCTGTTTAGGTACCATGCAAAGGCGAAAGTTGCCACTTAAATGGTAGCCAAGTCCAAAAATGTGTACCACAAATTACAAAGCAGCTACAATTCGATATATTTATCGATACATCCAAGATGTATATATTGATTAGAGCAGACGGATAAAGGAAAAAATAACTACTTGGGATAACCCTAAACTTTAAAAGCTCCATTATATCTAGATTTTTAATGGTAACAAATTCTAAAATCTAAAAAATTGTTATTTATTTTTAAATAATTAAATTAAATACAAATAAATTTGATATTTTAATACTTCCCTTTGTCTTCTCCAGTTTTAATCTTCGATTCCCAGTGCTTCGCTTGAAAATTCAATTGAGCTTTATTTGAAAGTATTTTGTTTATTGCTATACTTATTGATAGGCAGGGTCAGCACCCAAACCCTGATTTCAAGTCAAAGTTATGAGCAAACAATTTTCTGCTTAAAAGCGTCTGTCACAAAACTTTGGAGCGGCCCTTGTCAACCGACAAAATGGTCGTCTGGCAATATTGTTGCCTTACAATTTGTCTGCAATTACTCGTACGTGGCGGGCGGCAGGGTGGGAGGGCAGTCAGAAAAGTTCTGAGAAACCCGAAAATGGAAACCCCGTACGTGATTTGTTTTTAACGAGATTTGTGCCCAAAGAAAACTATTGACAATGCAAATGTCGTATATATACATACACATATTTTGTAATTTACTGGACTGTGCGACTGGAACCAAGCGAGCAAATGTTGTCCATTGTGGGCGCGGCTGTCCGCCCATTCAGATACACAAACACACACAATACAAAATATTGTGTGTCAAAAATGCTAAAATGATGCGTGTTTGTTGTTAGGTTTTTTGCCTTTTATTTTTATTGTGTGCGTGCTGTATAGTATTTCGCATAGTTTTGCAGCTGAAGTGGTTCGACCCGCCCCTCCGGAGCAGTTCTCTCCTCGCCACCCTAAACAGTTGCAAAAGTTGCCGCACGAAACAGTTTACAATTTCAAAAGAGAGACCCCTCATGTCCTTAGCTTGGCACCGCCTTGCCCGCCCTCCGTTTTGCTTTTTAATTTGACAATCAATTGACGTTTCGTTTGGTAAACACAAACACACACTCAGAAATTTGTGCAAAACTATTGACAAACAATATGCAGCAACAAGGAACAACAACAAAAATAAAAAGTATCAAATAACTTGGCCAAAACGATTTCAAAGCATATTTCAGCCATTCAATTCAAGGGCCTCTTATGTTTCATTCAACAACTAATTGAACGCCTCTCAGATTGACAACTGTTCAAAGGAGCACAAAAACTATGCAACCTTTTAGGATTTCGGGTCTAAAATATTGCTACATCAAATGGCTACACTTTCATTCTTTCCGGCGAACGGAAGCGCAGAAATGTGATAATATAAATAATAAAGTTTAAACAGAGCTCGGTGACAACATTTTCAGATATTTCATTAAATTTTTAAACTAAATCATAATTGTAAATTATGAATTCCTTTGAACGGGAGCAGAAGATAGAATCGGAATAAAAAATACAACTTTATGAAATAAATATTAAATAAAAGCGCTTCGATTGTTAAAAATTTTGACTGAAAAGCAAATTTTAGCTGTCTGTATGCCTTGGACATGGTAAAAGAACAGTTTATTAATCTACTTATTAAGGCCAAACATATCCAGAATATCCTCTTTGGTTAACTTATCATCGTCTTGTGTATTGGCGGATGCTGGAGCAGGTGCAGGCGCTGCAGGGGCGGGCGCAGGTTTAGCTTCAGTTGGGAGCACTGCTTTGGGTGGCGGCGTTTTCCTCACTTGGTCTGCTGGCTTGGCAGACGTCTGGATGGGTTTTTGATTTTGGACGGCTTTCATGTTCGACTCGAGAGCTGCAATAGTGTTCCGCTTGACGATGACCGAGGATCTGTCCGACCTGGACGCTTGTCCCTTGACCGGCTGATTCTTGGCCCGCGAAATGTCCGGTGTTGGATAGTGTTGGGTCTTGACAGTGACATCCATATTGATGCCCGATACTTTTGGCGGATTGTGCACAGCGTTGAGCAGTTCAATGTATGGACAGGGCGTATTGTAATCCTCCTCATCAATTGATTCGGTTGGGTCGTTCCAGCAGCGATAGCATGTCATTGAAATGCCGTAGGGCGGTGATTGCCTGGGCTGCTCCGACTCTACACATGGCTCAGGCTCAGGCTCTGGTTTGGGCCTTACATCTTTGAAGGGCGCCAGATAGGTGAAGAGATGCGGCCAACCGCGTTGCTTGTATTCACACGTACAACGGCATTCGTTTTCTTCCTCTTCCAGCTCTTCTTCTGGCAGCTGCTCCTCCTCCTCCTCCTCTACCCTAGGAAAGTCGCGGAACGGCGCCAGCCAGCAATAATCCGTATCGTGATCCTCCAGTCCAGAGGCCGATAACTTCTCGCCATGTGCCTCCTCCATGTAGTCATCGTATGCTGGCCGACACTGGCAAAATTGGCAGGTGCAAGTGCATTCATCATCGCAGGAACGCTCGTCCCTCTCGCAGGGCGGACAAATCTCGTCAATGAGTGGGCAGGGCACATGGTGCTTGGGTAAGGTCTCCTCCTCTTCGTTGAAGGGCACCCAGCGACACACGTACGGACCCTGGGTGCACTCGGCGGTTATCACTGGCGCTAGTCGATCCGCGTAGCACTGCATCTCGGGACAGTTGCATTTGGTTTCCCTCTTTTTCTTTTTCTTCTTGACACGTTTGCTGCCACTGGACTTCACCGACTGGTTGGAGCTCTTGATCTTCTGGGATGACTGGTCGAGATTGGTAACAATCTGTTCCATGGATATCATCGTGTATTCCATGCGCATTGAGATGGGCGAGGTCGGCTTGCTGATATTAAAGGTTTGCTTATTGAAAAACAGCTCCGTCGTCTTGACAGTGGAGGCGCTCATATTTGTGGCGGCCGATACGGTGTCCCAACCTTTTAGTTTTTTTTCCAATTGCGTCTGATCGGGTTGTCCGCAGACGCAGCCGCGCACATCGGTATCCTCGTTGATAATGCGGGATTTCAGCTCTTCGTAGAGCGCTTTGTAGATGCACTCGATGCACTCCTCGTACTGTCGCTCCTCCGAGTACATGAGACCCACATGAACGGCAAAAATCTGCGCCGTCCGCTTGGCCGCATGCAACCAGAGGCACTCGGAGCGATGTCGCAGCTGTTTGGACAACGATTCCATGCGCTTGCCACCCTCCCCGGAGCCGTGATAATACGCCCGGAAGGCGCGCTTCACTATGCCATAAGCCAGTTGGCTGTCCATGCGACTCATGCCCGCCTCTACGGCCAGATCGTGCACTAAGTTCTCCTTGTTGAAGCGTTTACTAGGCACCCGATCCACCCTGTAGCGCACCTCCTCGTAGTGGCGAAAGGCGCGCTTGATCAGCTCCTTACAGCGCTTCACCTCCCACGGGCGCAGCCGGCAGATATGCATGACCTTCATCAGGCTATTGGCGATGTCCTCGAGGTCGCTCTCAAAGTACTCGCTTTTCTTGGACCTATCCACCTGTCCACAGTTCGGAACATCGGGGCGCCAGCATTCGCAACCCTTATTTTTTCTTGGGTCACTCCATTGGTTCCCAAAGAACAGTGACGAGAGCATTTTGGCCATAATTTCATAGGAACTTGGGAATTTGTTATATACAATTTGGTAAGCGGGCGAAAATTTTATTTTATTGCTTTCGATTGTTTAATCAAAGTCGAAAATATATATTGTCAATAAAAGGTTCAAAAAACATATACACATTTTGGTTAGGTGAGATTTTGATGTTGATTTATTTGATAATAATAAGTAATTAAATTAGAGAGAAGAATATAGTTGAACGAGATGAACAAGGCTAGAAACGAAGAAAAATATTTGAGGTAAAGAAAGCAAGAGAGAGATAAAAAAAGAGAATGCAAAGAGATAGCTAAAGACGAGAATTAAGAGAAATTAAAATAAAACAACAGAGTGAGATGAGGCAGAAAGTGGTAGTGAGAAAGAAGAATCAGGAAGGATACGAACATAATGAAAGATGTAGACGGAATATTCACAGCCGATAGTATCGAAAAGAGATCGCAGAGGTTGGCCACCTCTGAAAAACTTACTCAGTCTGTGAGAAAGTTTAGGTCATCCTGACCAGAACCAATAAAATTGAAGAAATTTTACCTCTATATAGAGCACGAGAGAGAGAGAGATAGAGAGTTTGATTTTTTTTTCTGTCAATATGAATTATGAATTAATACATGCCTATGCATGATAGGAAACAGCCTGTCTTATTAGAGAGTATATATCTTAACTGGTATTTCGTGAGTTTTGCCAGCTATCTCCAATACGTCAGGTTGTTTCCTATCAAAGGCAAGAAAAAAAAAATTTTCCACCTGTTGCCCGCTGCACGATGCGTAATTCAAGTTGGGAGTAAACCAAGCAACTTGTCACTTCCTGAATGACGTCTGTCAGAGATTTGACTGGGGAAGTGCATTGCTGACATGCTGCTGTTGGGAATGTTTTATTCGTGGCAGACATACAGAAATTCATATTTATCATACAGGCCAAAGCACTGGCTGGGGTATGGTCAGGGGAGGAAGAGGGGCTGGCGGTTGTTGCAACATGCAACCAAATGCACAAAGCCCGCAGCAGCGACTGTGGCACGCATCATTTCGATATTTGTTTACCCAACAATTTGCTGTGCGTTCTCTTCTCTGCTCTGTCCCTGCCCGCCCCCTACCTATTCTCCATCACTGTTTGCTTTGACATAGGACAGTGGCGTGGGGCGTGGCGCATGCAACGGCTGCGAGCGCCGCCTGATTTACTACTGTTAATTCGAAATACTTTTGTGATGCAGTGCAAAGCGGAAATGCAATGCGACACACACACACACACACAAACATAAATGCAAATACACACACGCACACACAAAATGCATTTATTTTAACAGGCAACTGCGCAAAAACAACAAACAACAAATGTTGCGCAGCTCTACAAATTTCTATATACTACTCAAAAACTTGAAACAACATCAAAACTAATAAGAAATTCGTATGCAGCAAGACGAAGCTAGAATACGCTTTACAGGAATATAAACATTATTTTAATTATTATAATTTTTCACAAAAAAAATTAAATATATAAAATAACAAAACAAAGAAAATGATTATATTCTTGTAATTAAAAATGATAATCCGCATAATCAACGCCATTATCACGAACCTTAAAGATTTATTTAATACTTATATTAATATTAAATATATTAATCAAATAAACTAATAAATATTTATATTTAATTTTAATTAATTTAATTTTGCAATCATTTATTTAAAACGGAAATAATAATGCTGTTTCTAGGATAATAAATAAATAAAATATATATTACTTGCAAAACCATTTAATATTTTCAATAATTTTGCTTATAAGTATAAAACTATTTTTTTTTTATAGAACGCTTTCCTGAAATATTATAATAAAAGCAATTTCTAAGAAAAATAAAAATTGGTAAGTCGAAAATATATTTCATATCATATATATATTGTTCATTGGTATTATATATATTAAATATTATTTCTAATATTTCTATTATTATTAAAATAATTATTTTACTATTTCATATATTTATTTATTTATTAAAGATAAAACTTTTGGAATTGACATAATTTAAAATGAATTCAACTATACTCGATATTTAACCAAATAAGTGGTACAACGTTTTTTCCGATCTCACATGCGATCCTCATGTCACTGTCGACAGACCCATTGTTAAGTTCTGTTAAAAACAGAATCAAAGTCTGCACAAATATTGTCAGGCGGTCATGACAAATATTTATATAGCCAGCGCGTGTGTAGGTAAAATTTTTGGTGCACCACCCCTCCCCAAAGAAAAAGGAAAAAAAACAAAATAGTAAAACTCCGGAAAATGCGGGCGCATTGACAGTGCGGGCGATTGATTTTTCCTGTGTTTTTGGTATATTTGTTAGCAGCCTCAGAGTCAAGTAACACGGGTTGGTTGGGGGCTGCGAGGAGCATTGGGCAAACTAAAATAAATGCAGTGCAGGGTGAGGGGCGGGAGGGGTGGTTTTTTGCTAAAGCTAACAGACAGTTTTAGTGCAGCCCAGAAAAATGAGTTTAATTGTTGACCTTAGCTATTAGCCCCTGTCAAATGGCTTTGGTTGACAGCAATTTGCCTTTTACTTCGGTTTTGGGTTAGTTCGGTCTCTCGGCTCTGTGCCTTTTGTCTTTTGGACTCTGTCGTTCATGGTCCGCATTCATGGCTCTTTAATTTATATGCAAAAAAGCACAAGGTGCCTTTTGCAAAAGTTTCTTAGTATTTCTTGATATATGTGGAATACATATTGAGTATGCTTTGGTATGCACTAAAGGCGCTGACTGACAGGCCTGTATCAGAATCGGAGGCCCATTGCAGTCGGGCCACGTTTGATATTTGTTTATGTTGCAGCAACAGCAAAAATTGTTATTGTTTTTCTTTTTGTTCTTTTCTGTACATTTTCTTGTTATTCTTGATTTCCAGTACATCTACACTCGTACATATGTCCGTACAACACGGCCATGTGCTGTGTAAGTTGATGATTATTGCCTTTTGGGCAGTTTCATTGTGAAATGCGTCGAAATGTGCAACGCCGAGCTGTAAATGTAACATAAAACAAAAGTAAATTGACTTGTAAGCAGAAAATGCTGCTTATTGAATACTGAATACCAATACCCAGCGAATGAGAAGCGCTGAGAAAGGCGATATGTCGAAGAAACTCTAATTTTTGTACATGTGTCCACTAAAGCGTGATAGATGACCGTAAGAGTAAGATGTTGAGCTCTACGGATTTTAAATTGAGGTTAAAAATGTAAAGTAACGAACTCAGACAGTTTTTCTATTAAAAGTTATAAGATATAGCAATAAGAATCTTATCCATATCTATATCCAAGAGGCTGCATACATTGAAGTTGACTATTCAGATGTTTGCATGTTGAACTTTACGTATCCAAATTTTGTAAATAACGATATGAAGTTACATGTACTTGTATCACCTAGCTATTATAGTGATATTACCCGATAATTGTCAAAACAAAAACCCGTTGTAAAAAACAGCTACTGAGATTGATTGTTTCTTTTATATTTCAAAATTGATTAATATTTTCTCGCTGGATAATCCAAAAAGACTCTTGTAGCATACAAAAAAAAATAATTGAAAAACTGTTAAAATATGAGAGTTAAAAATGTTTTAATAGGTTCAGGTTTTGTAACTCTCGCTGTTTGTCCGGTTATTTTTCTCCCAGTGTAAACCAAGTACTCTACGAAACTGGTTAACAGCTTTGCACGATTTTTTATTAGCAGTCGACAGTTTAATATTATTTATAAATTTATATTGAATCATTTACAGCTTACTTGTGTACTTAGTAGGTTCTCCAAGCTAGACTTGATAGTATTATAAGAGTATAATCATGCGTGCATTAGTTACATTCGTAATATGCCTCGAAATGGTTTTTGGTGCCGAATTACGTGAGTGTAAAAAGTGATTTCAAAGGATACTTGACAACATCCTCCTCTAAATGATATCCCATTAGCTACTGATATACAGAAATGTCGCTATGATGAAGGGGATTGCATTAAAAATGCCATCAATCTGCTCATAAGACGCTATCCCAAAGGTCTTCCGAAGTTGGGCATATCTCCTTTCAATGATTTCCGACCAGGTGATCTACAATTATTTGAGGCCCCCCAAGTTGGTAGCATGTGGTTGAATTTTAAGCTAATTAATCAAGTGATTAATGGCTGTGAGAATGCAACCGTTACGCACGTGAGTGGCTTCCAACAGGACCCCACCAAGGCCAAAGTGGAGATTGGGCTACGTATACCCAGACTAGTCCATAGATCTCAATATAAGATGCAAATGCGCTGGCTGTCCATGGTGCAAACCAACACTACGGGACCCTGCTATGCGGAGTTCCAAAATGTTAGCCTGACGCTCAATTTGAAGGTGATTGTCAGATATAGGCAGGAGAAGCGCTATCTTAAGATCTATGAACTGATGCCGAAAGTCGAACTGGGACGGTCAGTTAAATGGCATAAGCCGAAAAAAGTGTAATTAATTTTCTATATATTTTGTAGCTTTTTTCTTGAATTGGGCGATTTATATCAACACAATTTGGATCTAACGCTTGTCGTGAATCGCTTCTACCGTGAAAACTGGCTGGCGCTCTGGAATGATATCGAGCCGAAAGTTTCGCCCAGTTTTAGCAGGTCGGGTGCCCAGCTGCTGAATAATATATTTGATACTATCTCTTACGATGATATGTTTTTATAATATGTAAGTCAAACTAGTTGACTTAAACTTCTCAAGTATTATTATTATTTATGCTAATAAACCTGCTAGTTGTGTTATTGTTGTTTACTGTTTACATGTTTAATAGGGGTATATTTGGCAAAAAGCATCACATTTTGCATGTTCGTTAACTTGTTTTAATTTTGGTTTTTGAGAATAGCTAGCAAATTTATTATGCTTATGTTCCTCTTAACAGTTCATTGTGTGTTCAGTAATGACAAACTCCGACAAAGATTCCTGAATCTCTCCCTAAATGTGTTATTTACATGGATAACAGAGCATCTAACAGTCAGTAACTGCTAATTGAGACACTCTCACTTCCTATTATCTGTGTAAGGTGAATGGGTTTAGTTTCTCAATGTTATCTAAAGCTCTCACGCAGCCAAACAGGTTTATATTTTAAAAAATCACTGCAACTGTGACTTGTTGCATGTGCATATCTGACGTTAAATAAGATTATTGTGTGAACTGTTGTGCTAACAAGTTCTGAAAGCATTATGAAGTGTATCGGTGAAATATATTTTAAGCTAACATTGCTATGCCTCACGTGGAAGACTCTTATCTGCGCCCTCCAGATACGTAGGTGAGCTGGAAGTGTTCCAAAAGTACCCAAAAATAACTATTTACCTGGACCATCAACAGCTTCAGATATCGAGAAATGCCATTTTGGAGATGACAAATGCATTGCAAGGAGTACAAATCAATTTATACGGCGCTATGCCAAAGGTAATGCCAAAATGGGTTTACCGCCCTTCGATAATATTGAAGTGGAGGACATCACACTCATAAACTCACCCGGGCCCCTTTGGATAAGCTACAAGTTGAAGAATCAGGTTCTTAAGGGTTTTGAAAATGCAACTATCATATCTCTGTCGGGACTAGACCGCGAGCCGGAACAAAATAAAGTTGAAGTGAAATTGAAAATTCCAAGTCTCGCCATGCATGGAAACTACGAGCTGCGTGGGCGTGGCATTATAGTTTATACGAACTCAAGTGGTTCCACGAAATCTGATATGCAGAATGTGCGCATAACGATCACAATTAAGGGCTTCATGGAGTATCGCAATAAGAAACGCTATCTAAAGGTCTACGATATGGCACCACTCTTCGAACTGGATCGGTAAGCCATAATTGAAGTTCTTTCTGGAGCTAAGTATTAAGCTCGTCTATTTTATAGTTGGATATTGACGGCTGATAATCTATTTAAGGAGAACACCGATCTAACTGTTTTACTTAATCGCGTGATCAACGAAAATTGGATTGAGTTTTGGAACGAAATCGAATCAACCATTTTGCCTGTCTATACCCGAAGCTTTGTCAATCTTATCAATAAGTTCGTACAAGCTTTTTCCTATGATGATATGTTTTTACCGGATTGAAAGATGAGAGCTCCGAAAACTGAAAGCATTTTACTTATGGTAATGGTTATTGATATTTTATAAAGCTTCAAGAGTCAAGTATTGAACATTTGTGATTGTTTTTTTTAATACAAACTGTTTGATATTAATTTAATTATTTTTTCTTATACCATATTTTGGGTAAGAAAAAAAATTATCTATTTTCGATAAAAAATATTTCTACTCAAATTAAATTTTAAAATTAGGGCATACAATTACATAATTATTTTGAGATTATAGTAAATCCTTATATATCAAATATTTTCGGATAAAAAATCTCTGTATGCAATAAATATTTGTTGTGTACATAATTATTCTGCATTTACCGAATTTTCTCATAAAAATCCACATTATTGGATAATAAATAATTTCTGTGTGCAATAAATACTAAATATGAATTGTTTTTCTCATTTTTTGTATATTTATAGAATTCGAATCGATTAAAGAAATTCTATGTATATTGGGATTAGAGTCTCTAACTATTCTGAAGTTAAAGAATTTCCTATTATATAAAATAAAATGTAATGAGATAAGAAACAATTTCTGTAAATATTAGATTTAAATTGTTTCTCCCATTCCACACATGACCTTCATTTAATACATAAACTTCTTGTAGTTCTATTATCTATATAAAGAGAAACCAACCCAAAGACACTGTGAAATCAGTGCTACCAGAACTGCCCACACTCAACGCCTTTCAATTCCCAGAGCGACTTTAATTTATCACGCTTGATCTTGATTAAAAGCGCACACCCGCAATTCTCCGCGCCCAAAGACCTTAAAGAGAATAGATTGGCGAAGTTGGGAGAGAAGAGTGGCACAGAGCCATAGCAAATCCAGGGGGGGGGGGGGGGAAGGGGGACAGTCAGACAGCCAATTATAGACAGTCAAAGTCGCGTAAAGATGCCAGAATGAAGATCCACAGACACGAAAACTGAATGAATGAACGAAAAATGAAAATTATAATGTGAAAAGAGCACAACAACAAGAGCAACAGCAACTGCAATAAAGACATCAACAGTTCGGAGGCATCAAAGAATCAAGCGAGACGCTCACCACTAAAAGGGTGCTTATAGGTGGGTATAGGGGGGCCAGCTGAAGGGCAAGTTATAAGATTTCCAAAAATAATATTAAAATTAGCAACGAAGCGCAACAAATGAGATTTTCAACCGAGTTGCTGTTGCACTTCCACATGCCGCGCTGCCTCAGACCATAAATTGAGCGCAGAACACTGGGCACGTCCAGACCTCAGAGAGGCATAGATCAATCAGTGTGTTGCCTGCCCCAGCCGAGAGGCAGCAGCAACAGTCGAACAGACAAACAGCTTAGTCCCAGTAATTAGGAATGATAAATGCTGAAAACGCACTGCACAAAGGAAGATACAGAAGCTAAAACTTCCATGCGAAAGGGTTATAAATAAAAATGAAGAAAAAAAGAACCCGGAGCCAACAGCAAATTGGGCAATGTGTGCGCTGGTAAAAAACTAAATGGAAAACTGGCGCATCAGACACATCAATAGGTTAGGTAAGGAAAGGCAATTAAGATTTTTGGTGCAGCCATGGCATATGGCAGAGGATGTGGGAGGTGCTAAGCAAGCAGGCTTAAGGTAGAGTTATGGCAGAGTAGAAGGGTGTGTCTGGGCAGCTTAAGTGGGCTTTACACACAATACGATATTACGAGGGGGATAAGGTATATTAAGATAATGGACATTATGCGTATATAGATGGCTATAGGTACGAATGTGCGACTTAGTAAAGAACTCAGTAAACCGTTCGGCATTCGGTCACATATTAAAATATATATTTGATAAAAGATAAAATGATAAAAAAGTTATGGCCTGCTTGCCCTCACTGCTGTTGCTTTATAAAACCTTCTCTCCTTTTGTCCAAAAATGTTTCTTTAGATTGAAAACAGTTTACACTTGCAAAGCTCCATCTCCCGCCTCTCCCAAAGATAAAAAGGTAGTTAAATTAACCTTCTAGGCAAGATTGGTATCTAGATTTTACCCACCATATATTTCCTGCTTTAGTAAGTGCTTTGGAGAGTTTCTTTCTCTGCTCGCACGCTCTAACTTCTACCTTTTGCTTTATATTTTATGAAAATATATGCACAATTTCCAATTACACTTTATTTCAAACAATTAACCAGTCCAGCGTAAGCACTGAAACATCGCATGGCCCAGCTCTAGCTGTACTTTCCACCTGCCTCTAGCTTCCTGGCCCAAAGTTTGAGCTAATAATGTTAGCGCCATATTTGACCGCCGTGTTGGCGTTATCATGACTCGACCAGGCCAGTCCGAACCGGACCCGCACTGGCGACTGCCTGGAGGCAACAATGTTGGCTAACCGCAAGGCTGGCCGGCAGGTGCAAGTGCCCGTGTGTGTACATGTGGTCGCCAACAAGGGGGCGGGATGGTAATGGTGGGCATTTACAACATTTGCGGTCTGGCAGGGCTGCTTTACAGGGCATTTGCATTTTGCATTTGGCATGGCACGGAATCTTACGGATATGTGTCTATAACAAAACAATTAGAAACGACGACGCTCTGGCAAAGCCCTCGACGATTTGACGCTGATTTATGAGTGGTGCGGGCGGGCGGGTGTGGTGCGGGCGGGCTACTAAGTGCCTACAAAAACTCAAAGACAGGCACGTAGCAGCAGCAGCAGGCCGCGGGGATTAGTTGAGGCAGAAGGCAAATAAAAGAAAAACGCGCCGCACACACATAAAAAGCCAAGCCGAAAAAGTGCCTCGGAGAGGGACGATGTGGGTGGAGGGGGTGTAGTGGGCTTGCTTGTGCTGGCTAAGCTCGTCGCTTGGTTTTTGGTTAAGTCACCCGTGGGGCATTGGGGCATAGTAAAATGCTAGTGAAACAATTATGCAATTACTTAATTTGATAGCCCAAGTGTGTGCCATCTCTCTGCATGCCAGCCCCTGCCCCCCTGGCCCCTTCAACGGCCGCTCTTGGACTGTAAATATTACGTATACGTAGCGTGGCCCAAGCAGCTGGCTGCCCTCTCCACTCCGTCGGCATTGCTTTGTGGCCCGTAATTGTTTTAACTGCCTTGTGCACGCGCTTTGTTTACACGGTACTGTGGCCAGTACCGGTCGCATTGCCTATAAACAACTGCTTGGTTCCACTGCGACTCGGTGTGTGCATGTCGTGGGTCTTTCCGCTGGCATTTATGAATTTGTTGCTGATATTTGCATTCGATTTGCATTACTTTTAGCCAAGTGCAGACAGTGTTTGGGAAAGATATCCTAAGAACTGTTTTAAAGTTAGTTGAGGTTTAGGGAAAAAAGTAAAATATCATTATCCAGCATACAATAGAACTGTAAACAAAAAAGATCGGATTATTCTTTCATATATTCCGAATTTTGTGAAATTTGGTTGAGTTTGGTTATGTTTGATATCAAGTAAATCAAATGTATATTGTCTGCTCTGGGAATTGAATATTATCACTGAGATTTCCTCAATAAAGATGCTAGAAACATAGAAAAGAAAACGAATTAATGTCGACATCTCAGAGACTTAAAGAAAGCATCAACAAACAGATAATACATGTAAAAGTCAACATTTAGATACCTTTTTCGAAATGTTTACCATAAAGAGCTATATTTCCTGCTATACAGGCTGCTTTCTAGTCCCTACTGTGGGCTATAAA